ATGGACTGTTCTGTGGTCAGATGAGTCACGATTTGAAGTTCTTTATGGAACACTGGGACGCCATGTCATCCGGACCAGAGAGGACAAGGATAACCCAAGTTGTTATCAACGCTCTGTTCAGAAGCTGCATCACTGATGGTATGGGGTTGCATGAGTGCTTGTGGCCTGGGCAGCTTGCATGTCTGGAAAGGCACCATTAATGCAGAGAACTATGTTCAGGTTCTAGAACAACATATGCTCCCATCTAGACGTCATCTCTTTCAGGGAAGACCCTGCATTTTTCAACAAGATAATGCCAGACCACATTCTGCAGCAATCACAACATCATGGCTACGTAGGAGAAGGATCCGGGTACTGAAATGTCCAGCCTGCAGTCCAGATCTTTCACCTATAGAGAACATTTGGCGCATCATAAAGAGGAAGGTGCGACAAAGAAGGCCCAAGACGATTGAACAGTTAGAGGCCTGTATTAGACATGAATGGGAGAGCATTCCTATTTCTAAACTTGAGAAACTGGTCTCCTCTGTCCCCAGACGTCTGTTGTAAGAAGAAGGGGAGATGCCACACAAAATGGCCTTGTCCCAACTTTTTTGGAATCCGGTTTATATGTTGCTGGTGAAACTTCACCATTATCATTTCAAAATATTCCTTAAGTGACTCTTTGATTTCTTTGACAATATTTTCATTAGATATGATTGATACATTCATTCTCCATTATCTGAAACAAGGTTCATTACCCATGTTTAAAGTTAAAATATTTTCTGTTACAGTTTGGTTCCTTGTGCATATGTTGCTGAGATATATACAAATCTATTTGAGAATAACTTTTATGTGGATTTATGTGTAGTCTATATTCTTGAGGTTGATATTTCTCCAAGCATCAATAAGACCATGCTCTTTAATAATATTATTTAACATTCTAGATTTTGGTGTCTGTAGTCCATAGTCAGAAGGGTACCTGTCTAATATATTATTGTTGAACCGTATTGAAGTCTCCCCCATCAGTATCATGCCTTTTGTATCATTAGTTATTATTATGACTATTTGATTCAAGAATGTTTCCTCCTCATTTGGGAAATATACATACTGAAATTGTCATATCTCCTATGCATGTCCTACAATCATTACATACCTTCCTTATCCTTAACCTCTTTTTCAACTTCAAACAATATCCCTTTTTTGATCAAAATTGCTACCCCTCTCCTTCTCCAAATGAAGCATAAAATGCCTGACTTACACACTCCCTTTACAGTTTTCTGTGTTCATTCTCCATTAGGTGTGTCTCCTGTAATAAAAGCTATTGAGCACTGTACATTTTTTAGTTGAGTCAAAATCTTCTTTCGTTTAATAGGATGTTCAGACTGTGAACTTTGGATACAATATGAAGACTCCATGGTCCACAGTGCCATCAGGTGGTTTGGAAGCTCATTCCACAAGGAGCAACCTGTCTCCCATTGAATATGGAGACGAAAAGCCTTTCAGGGTGCCTATGCTTGCTCATACAAAGTGTCACCGATTTCCACAAAGCTCCTCCTTGGAGCTGCAGTCCATAGCACAGCTATTGCCCCACATAGCTGTCCACGCCTTCCCCACACAGCGCTTCCAGTCTAGCAGCAGCAATTAGCAAACACCTTGTGAAACTGTGAGTCTGCTATGCTCATCATCCAAACTACTTCTCAGTCCAACACTCCGAGCAGCTTCTCATTAGTGTGCAGGTAAGGTGCGATAAACGGCATCTCTGTCTCACACACACATATTCGCACTCAGTGGAAGAACAGACATTTGGAAAGATGGGTATGGGTGATAAACAATCAAGTGTCCCTTTTCTTATCTTAACCATCCTACTACCGACATGGGCATCTCTTCACTTGATTGGTCAGTATAATATGAGCAAATGACAGTGTGTAGCTTTTACTACATTTAAGTGGCCCCTGAGAATAGTCATGTGTTTGTTCTTGCATTGAAAAGGAGGAGAAAAGATGAAAGTTTGAAAAATTGGGGTAGGGTAGAGAAGGGTTTCTTTGCGGTAGAGTACAGCAGAAGCAGAAAGAAAGTTTTGAAAAAAAAATCCTGTTGGGAAGCTGTCAGTCACTTAGTTTAGTTCAGAAGGTTGTAACGTTTGTAGACGCTTTCACCACACATTCCTCCAAATGTTACGTGAAGTTTGACTGGTTTATTTTTCATGAAAGGGAAAGAGAGGGCAAAAAAGGGAGACAGAAAAAATACTTTTTGGCTCATTCAACGTAAAGGTGGTGTGCGTTTTCCTTCTAGCAGTTGGAGGCCAGGTCTCCTCTGCATGTTTTGTGCATGTTTATTTGGAAAAAGAAGCACTGGGAATAATGCGGAAACACCCGCCCCCAAATGTCAAAACCAAATTGTTTATAAGTGGTCAGTGTAGAGGTCATGCTACACTTCTTCGTTGTATGTCATTTTGACTAACGGGGTCAAAAAATCCAGTCATAACCCATTTTTACCCATCAGTTTTTTACATTGACAATTACATAATTAATTGCATTTAACTGTCATTCAGTTTAATACTCAACAAGCTGAACAGATTATCTACATTGTGTGATCACACATCAAGCAGATGAATAGATGTAACTTTTTCTCTGCAGCGACAAAGTTTTGAAATCAAGAAATATTTCTCCAGTTGAAGTGATCAGAAGTTGGCAAGAGTCTCTGTCACCTGAGTCCAAAACAACTCTTCTCAGCAGAAAAATCCAGCTGCAGTGGGACAGCTGCATCACACACTCTTCAAAGTTCATCACTCTTCAACATGACACTGTCATGTTTTGTGTCCAGATCAGAGATGATATTCGGAGGAAATTTTTCTTTTATTAATTCATTTAAGTTGCCTCCACAATGTAACTTATTCTTTGTGCTTAAAGTTAAAAATGTCTGCACGGCAGCACCAAGTCTGTGAAATTTGTTAAAATGACAGATGGCCATCAGATTTTTCCATCACTGTTTAAAAAAGACCGATCAATGAACTACCCAAGGCATGAAATTATTGATTAATCTCTGTCCCATAGGGTAACAAAATAGACAAGGGGTGAACATCAGGCTGAAATGGTCCAGCAAGTCCAGAGTCCTCTCCTCTCTGGTGGTACAACTTACATACTGGGTGAAGGCTGGCTGGTTTCAGTGCAATCAGGTGATCCCTGGTGAAAACAATGCAGCCAAATTGTTATGCTCAGCAGAGTAAAAAATAAAAAAGTATCTCGGCACCGAAGAAAAAGATTTACTCTCCATCAGCATTGTTGAAGATAAGCTTCTAGTAAAGTGCAAAGATAATTAATGTTGTCAAATAATCAATCAAAAAAATTTGAATTTTAATCAAAAAAATGTTAAGTAAAAAGAGGAGAGGAGTAACCGCAACAGGCTGCAAACACGATGGCACATCCGCACTACTTGTAGTGTCAAGTAAGTAGTAGTTTAAAATATCCAATAAATTTTGTTCCACGTCACAATTGTGTCCCACTTGTGGATTCTTCACAAAATAATAAAAAGTTTAGATCTTCATGTTTGAAGCCTGAAAAGCGGCAAAAGGTTGAAAAGTTCAAGGGGGCCGAATACTTTTGCAAGGCACTGTATGTCTTTATCTACCCTCTCTGTACTGGTTGAGGTTTTGTTCTGAAACCATCCCAGACATCCCTCTAGCAGTTTTCTCAAAACTTTTGCTCCACCTCCCTCATGTAGCAATCTTGTTCCTCCCTCAGGCAACATTTCACTTCCCTCTGTGGTGCCTTTGTCTCCACCTTGTCTTTAGTCCTAAAGGCCTTCTTCTGGTTGAGTACAGTCAGGACTCCCTGTGTTGCCAATTTGTTTGTTATTTGGGTAGCATTGAACTGGGGTGGAAGAGAATAATATTAAGATATGTCTGTGAATTTTGATTACACCAAAATTTAAATAATTTGTTAGACACTAAGTCATCCCCTCAATACCCTCACATATCGGATTGTTATATGTGATATGACAATCGCATATAACAATCTAGGGCCTCCTCTGCTTCAGAAGTCCATCTTCTGATAGAGTGAGTGGAGACACCCTACCTTTAGACCATGTGGATGTACTGGGGCTGACTTGCGCAGTGGGGGAAAGGCAACAGCCCTGTATGCACCCTTTACATTAATATACAGTAAATCAATTATCTTGTTTCTCCTGGTGGGACAATTGACAACCTGGTGAAAAGAAGCCATGGAATCCAGGGTGTGACATGATTTAAAAGTAAATGTATAAATGAATCACAGGGAGAAAATACATATTCTGTCTGACCATTTGGTGCATTATCACCACCTTGTGGTTGTGTTTTAAGGAACACATTACTTCCATATTGTGTGGGAGAAAAAAATACTGCTTATCAAAGTGATTCATTGTTTGACTTTGATATTCAGTGACTGGACATTTAAAACTCAATGTCTGAGTGATTTTGGAGAGGTGTCCGACAGCTGGTCTGTGAGAGGACTAATTTTGTAGTTTTGAGCAGCTGCTGTTTCAAATATTTTGTTATATCATGTATCAATTTGCTTTGTCTCTTCACTTGAACAAACCTTCAGAGGATTTCACTTTCAAGGTCGAACAACAAAGTTTTTGTCGAACTAGACCTGCACAACTAGACCTGAATGCAATATCACAATTGCAAAAGACTGCTTAGATTATTTGGCAGACTATAATGATTCATGCATCTGTGAATGTTGATATTTTGTTTGGTCAATTAGTTGAACACTAACTACCCTTAATGTCAAAACGTGATGTTTCATTTTAGTGGTGAGATGCCAAAGCTCACTGTGTGTGTGGAGGGGACAGACACTGTGCAATTATATATTTTGGTCATATTGTCCATCTCCTGTTAAAAACTGAAGTATGATGACTGTCAGACCAACAAATATTAGTTTTGGACCCTTTTGTCTTAAACTTGTGACTGGAGGCATGGTTATTTTGTCTAATCTGACTTTGTTAATGCTTTTATTTTTTTTTTCTCTCTTTTTTTTTTACCTCAGGATGGAGCGGATGTCTGATGATACACTGAGGCTCAACCTGTTAAAGCGAGGTCTGGAGTCATCCAGTGAGAGGGAGGAGGCTCTGTCAAAGCGCCTAAAAATGGAAGGTCACGAGGCCATGGAGCGCCTGAAGATGCTTGCCCTTCTCAAACGCAAGGACTTAGCTGATCTGGCTGTCCTAGAGGTCCCAGGGACGCTTGGAGATGGAAAAGGCCCCAGTGTCAGCTCCATCCACCACCAGAGTCTAATGGGTGCGGCATATGAAGAAAAGCTGAATGGAAGTTTAAGGCTTGGCAGCCACAGTGTTCATGTCGGTCAAAGTAAGAATGGAAAGGAAAACATTATGGATGAGCCAGTGGACATGAGTGCTGGAAGAAGATGGTGAGTCAGATATTTATTTCCTAAAAGATTATGGTGAATAAAGTAATCTGGTATTCTAAATAGGGTCACACCTTTTATTTAACTAGTATGTTTAGTTTTTTTTTCTCACACTTCATAGTATAAGATTTTCTGGGTGTAATCCACAAAATATTATACATTACCTCAGCTATACACCACTACCTGCATTTCTGAGGTAGTGGTGAATAAAGTAGTGGATATGGTTTATAGTTTATATTTATGGCCTGAACCCAACCCCAAATATTGATTTGATAGTTGGGGGGAGGATTGGGTTCAAACTTCTGTGTCGTGTTTAATAAGTCTGCAATGCATACAGTGGAGAGAAAGGCAAACGAGAATGCACAACAAAAAATTTTGTTGGCTCCAACATACTTCGTCTGAAACCAAATAATCGATGCAGTCACGTGGCTTCAGACGATTGGTATTTGCTTGCAACTTTCATACAATAGCACAGAGCAGCTGTGGGACACCTCTCCTGCTTCTGTGTTTGTCATGCTCCTCCCAGTGTGGGTTCCCCTTTCCTCCCTGCGTCTTCTGCTTTGCTTTTAGGAAACTGTCACAGAGCTAGCCTCATGGAGACAGCCTTCTCCTTTCATAACAACGTTTCAATTTCCATCGAGGAGTTAACCATTTCACAGTCTTATTATGGTATTTAGTGAAGAATTGTACAAATGAATATAATTATAATAATATAATATAATAATATATAATTATCATAATTGTTGCATTCGTAACTCAAAAGTATTCATGTTTCCTGTAAAGTTAAAGACTACAAAATTAAGATGATTGCTTTGATTTGTGTGATAGTTTACTAATACACTGAAAGTTTAAAATTGCTACACACAAAAAAAAAAAAACATTGAGAACAATATGTTGGTGCATCCAATCTGTGGTAGACTTGACTTTGACAATGTCAGTTTACATCTAGATGAGATCAAGCAACTATCTTAAAAGATAGGAGCTGTCCTTTTACAAGAGAATGGAACAGCGTTCAGAACCCGCATGCACAAATAAACCTCGACTGTGATCCTGTTGTTTCCTAGTTGGATTTCCTAAAAATCCAGCAGCTGCTTGGATGCTGTGTAACCCAAACAATATGGCTCCCTTCATATCACTGCCTACTGTCCTACTCTGAACGTGGTTCTTTGGTTTTATGAAATTAATTTCAAGAACTGAATGAACTTATTTCCCAAGATATCTTTCTCTTGGCCTTTTTGACAAACACAAATATTATTTTATAATTTACTTTTCAGCTTTTATAATACACTATATTGCCAAAAGTATTTGCTCATCTGCCTTGACTCGCATATGAGCTTAATCCGTAATCAATATGATGTTGGTCCACCCTTTGCAGCTAGAACAGCTTCAACTCTTCTGGGAAGGCAATCCACAAGGTCTAGGAGTGTTTATGGAGATTTTTGACCATTCTTCCATTAGTGCATTTGTGAGGTCACAGTGATATTGGAAGAGAAGGCTTTCAGTCTCCACTCCAATTCATCCCAAAGGTGTTCTATCAGAATGAGGTCAGGACTCTGTGCAGGCCAGTCAAGTTCATCTACACCAGATTCTGCCATCCATGTCTTTATGGACCTTGCTTTGTGCTCTGGTGCTCAGTCATGTAGGAAGAAAAAGGGGTCAGCTCCAAACTGTTACCACAAAGTTGAGAACATGGAATTATCCAAAATGTCTTGGTATGTTGAAGTATTCAGAGTTCCTTTCACTGGAACTAAGGGGCCAAGTCCAGCTCCTGAAAAACAACCCCACACCATGTTCCCCCCTCCACCAGACTTCACACTAGGCTTGTCGCTATAAACGATAAATCAATTAATGCACAATAAATTAAACCTTTCGACCTCATTTTAATTATCGTCTTTATCGTTTCTTCCTGCCTTTTTTTTATTTCTCTTGATGACACTGAATGAAAAAAGGCTCAACTCCGGAGCCCTCCCTTCCTCATTTCCTAAGTGTAATGTCCTGCGCACACGACACGAGTTGTCGGCCGACTGTCAGCCCATTTTCTAAACCTGAGACACATTAGCCGACAGAAATCCTAGGCATAATGGTTTGATCGGGTTCGTCGTTCCGTGTGGTGTCCAGCCACACAGCCATTATTTGGACTTGTAGCCCAAAATAATGGCTACAAGTCCAGTTAACTAATTTTAAAATCAGGCATTAATCAATGTTTTACTAGAATCTACCTGTGATGCATGTGGCTAGAATCAGCGTAAAGTCCTGACTGAATGAAAATCATTGTAACCTATTTATGTCACGTTAACGAAGAACAGCTGAAAACTTACAGGGTTTATCAACTGCGGTAGCAATTTGGCTCCAACTCCTCTCCTTGTCATTTCTATATTCTTTGCACGAAATGTTGAATAAACATTAATGTTGTTTCCACATATCATCTCCGATGTCCGTAATTTCCCCTCAGAAAGCACAGAGGAGAATCTGCGCTTTCTGATTGGCTACCTGTCACATTCAGCGTTAAGCTCCCGGTCGGGGAAAACCCCTGATTTAGATCGGAGCGACCACGACGATCTACCGTAACACACCACACACTGCAGGATGATCGGTTACGAAATCACCAGCGACAATCTTAGATCGGCCAACGATCCAAGATTGTCATAATGGGAAAATAGGGGCAAAAAATCGTGTAGTGTAACTACTGCATTAGGTAGTCGGATGTGCCCATCTTCTCTATCTAAATCTAGTGATTACTGAAGGGCAATATAGTATACAGACTTTATAATCTGCACTCTTTTTGGTTGAATACAGTATTTATTTCCACTTTGGCTTCATGTTGTTTACTTTTTATTCAAGTACGTTTTTTGTTAATGGAGACTGAGAATCCATTTTATTTTTGTTTTTGGTTGTTTAGTTTATTAGTTCCAGTGTTATGTGTTTTCTTTTGAAAATAAAGTGTATCTATCTATGGCAGGAAATAGCATGCATTATTAGTCATTTTCATTAAATCAGTGTCAAAAGGTCTTGAAACAATATTATCGTTTATCGCAATAATTTTTTAGAC